CTCAAATTTTGACTTTCATATCGATCACGCCCTTAATAAATTTCATCCAAGGTCCTTAAACTTTCGGCACTTGTTCAACTTGGTCCCAAACTTCACAAATTTATACGCTTTAAGTCCTTTTTTTCTTCCTTTTCGCCTCGTTATCCTTCTTGTCGGGGTTTTGGCCTACAAAAGTAAAAATTACACAATTATGCATAGAAATCTACTCAATTTCAATTATAATTAACTCCGAAAAGTGATTAATAAGTGTGTAAAAATACACTTATAACACATCATAACTTTGTTAATTATATTTAGCCTTCGTTTCGTGTAGCTTTTTTTTTTTTTTTTAATTATTTTGAAAATTTCTATCAAATTTTGATAGAATTGATGTCAACATTTGAAATAATAAAAGAGAAAATTACACCCACCCCTACTTTTGAAATTTATATTTCATTAATCAGTTTTTAAGTTTAATTTTTCATAAAATCAGGTTATAATGAATTATTTAACATGAAATATTAAATATAACATTAATAATTAATTACCGTCACTGATAGTGAGAGAGAGAAAGAGAGACCTTTTCAAAATTGATTCTTCTTTCTTCCATATCCAGCAAGAAAGAAGTGAGACTCCATTCTTTAATGACTAAAGCCTTTTGTACATTGATTTCTTGATATCAAGTTTGACATCATGTGAAAATTCAAATTGTGTTTGGCGGAAAAATGTGTTGTTTTTAAAAACTACCCAATGTGATGTCGACACGTGGTACAATGTCAAACTTGATGTCAAAGTTAATGTACTTGTAGCATGATTGTTCTTTAATTCAAGATTTCACGTTCGTCGAGATATTAGATATTTTAACCCGCCACCGTCAGTGTTAGTGCTAATTTTATTTTTCCTACTTCATTCTTTCAAATACCCAATTTTATAGTAGATTTTATTGAACCCTAACTCATTACAAACCCAAATCTAAAATAGTGTTAACAAGGAGTGTAGACTGAAAATCTCATTCGAAGGATGAATATGAGATTGGAAAAATCAGGATAAAAAAAAGACTCAAAGCATAGAAAGATCTTCCTTCAAAAAAAATCCAAAAACATATCAATTCCGATAAAAAATCTAGTTTGAAAAGTGTACATCAATTCATAGTTTTTTTTTTTTTTAATACAATGTTTATGTTATTTTGAGTTCAGGGGCAAGTTGTGTTTGAATTTTATTGGGTGATTATGATTTTCATATTGTTAATTTTACTGCTAACCTCAATCAATTCTTCCAATTGTGACCTCGTACATCTTATTTTTGTTGTGTTCAATTTTTTTGCTATTACGACCTTGTTATTATTGGAAATAGTTTTATCGGTGTTTGTGATCTATTTTATTTATGTTTGTGACTTGAATGTTGTACCAATTTTGAGACTTTTTATTATTGCATTTTCTATCTAATATTGTGGCCAAGTGCAGGGTTTAGAATGACCTCGAGGTCGCGGATCAAGAGAATGTGGAGGGTGAAGACCCCGATGACCCCGAGGTGAACTACCAAAGTGGCGAAAATGATGGGGAAGAGGTCATGGTAACTAAATGCCTACCTAAGGGGGTACCTTTTTTCGCAGCTATGACTTTTGACCTCGCTACTCAAAAGGCTGCCTACGTAGGCAAGAAGGTCGTGCATGATGGTGCCCCTACCTAAGGCCAGACTAAAAGAATAAGAAGCTTCCTCGGATGACAAGACTAAGGTCAGGACCTCAGGTATGGTGGAGACATTTGGGTTGATAGTGTTTGTCGGTCCTTTGGAGATAGACGTAGCCTTGTGGATGAGCCTGATCCAATAGAGATCGAGGTTGATGGAACATGGAGGCCTTTCATCGACAATCTGAAGGCATTGTAGACTTTGCGCAGGACCTTCATAGGAGGTCGGTTACAGGTCCGAGTTAAAAGTTAAGTAAGCAATTGTAATTGTCTAAGTATTCTTTTATTTAAAAAAAAAAAAAGGCTTCTTATCTTGACGAAGAAAATAAAAGAAAGCAGATAACGTGTGAAAAAGTAAAAAATAAAATGCTTATTGATCTCCAACGTCTAGTAAACTTAGTCATGTCCCAGATACCTGGGATTTGGCCTTGGCTTTGTCTTCGACTGTTGTGACCTATTAGTTGGAGTGCAATCGAGCTCAGCCCCATACCTAAGTTGGTTAACAAGTAACGAAAGGTTGATCCTTTGTCCGTTGCTCAAGCAATGGACTCTCCGGTAGCCTATAAACACCCTTTTCAACCTATTTGTTTATTATTTAGGTCAATCTCCAAAATTATCTAATATATAACTTTTTGGGCAACTCTTTATCATGTCCAAAAGATCTAACTTAAGGATGTAGACCAAGACTAAAGGGCCAGTTCGACGTAACTACTTCACATGCTAAGAAAAATTAGATAAGTTCGAAGAGGTGAAGGTCACGCTAGAAAGAAATAGGGACTAGGAAACCTTGAAAACCAACCTCTAATATGTTGCCTCTGCATTATTCAAACCAAAAAGCGTAACCTTGTAGCAATATATTCTTGAATCTATCATGAATGAGGTCTTCTCTTTATCCTCTTTACTATTGCGAATCTGGTGATACCTTGAAGAAGCATTAAGGAAGCTGTATATCTTGTGCCCTAAGGTCTAGTTGAACATATGGTCAATTGTAGGGATTACATAGCTATCCTTTTAGCATGCTTTGATCAGGTTTATATAGTCAACATAGACTCTTCACTTACCGTTAGTCTTTTTAACAATCACAACATTGTCGAGCAAGTTGGAAAGTGTACCTCCCAAATGAACTTGGTTCAAGTTAGGTTTTCAACTTTCATATGTATGGCTTCTCGTCGTTAAGGTGAAAATTATCTTTCTCTGCTTTACTGATAATATAATCAAGATGATATTCAGATGGTACATTGGGCTTGATCACCAATATGTCATAAACTTTCCATGCAAACATATTTTGCAGGAAGATTGGCTAGAGATTTCTTGTAAAAACACTAACCCTTCTCAATTCATAATGAGAACATTTTCGTCTTTTTTGATTTCACATATTATTCTCCTTATGCACATAAAGGAGGAATCGTATGAGATGATACAATGGCCTCCGCTCCATTAAGGGTGTGTCGTTCAAGGATGACATTGTAAACAATCAAGATGTTGGCCATCGGAAAATAAACCATCATGTTAATTTGTTTGGGGTTGATGTCCAATATCATAGGAAGGTTGAGAATGCCTGTTGGTCAACACATCAACTGCACTCTATTATCCATCAATATCTTCTTCACATCAAAGTTAGCAATGACCGTTAAGATGATGAAATCATCATCATGCAAGGTGATGATGCTTCAAAGTCTTTTTTTTTTTAAAAAAATGATGTCTTCATCGGTAATAAGTTGTGAAGTGAAGTGAACTAGGAAGAAGTTCGAGCATACTGTTTCCTTTTATTACAAGAATCTCTACCTAAAGTTATTCCCTCCAATGATGATATTGATAGTACCGATCGTGGCACTATTGACCTCCGAATTGGGTCTATTTTCGAGTTTGGAGGTCCTTCAGGCGTTTATCCCCGTTAACATAAGACCTAATGAACCTCTCTTGATAAGTGCTTCTAAGTCCTATTTCAACTTCTTGTATTCATCCGTATTGTGGTCGTTATCTGATAAATGTATTTTTGTACATTTATTAGATACTTTAACAAGCTAATTATTGATAAATTGAGATGTAGGTCAAAACCCCCAAAAGGAAAGACAACAAGGCAAAATGAAGTGAAAATGGATTAAAAGTGTACAAAATTATGAAGTTGGGGACTAAAGTTCAGAAGTCAGAAGGTTGAAGGACTTGGAGTTCAATATATGAAGGGCTTGATTGAAATGAAAGTTAAAATCTGATGACCAAATTGTAAAAGATCAAAGTTGAGAGATCTGATGCGCAATTACTTCGAGGATTTAGCTGCAAAATGAACTAATTTCTTGTTTTGGTAGAGAAAAATTGAGGGACAGTTTTAATTGTTTTTCTTTTTTATATATATCATATATATAATATGGACTAATTTCTTTATGATGGGATTTATGGTAGCAGGTAGTCCTAATTTTAATATTTGCTCTTTAATGTTAAGTTGCTTATTTTCATGTGTTTTTACTATTATTATTATTGCATTTTATTTTTATGGCCAATGAATGATTATATTTAGTAATATGTATATCGCTTGAGGGAAGAATGTGCATTTTAGATCAAATAGTAGAAAAACTGTTTTTTTGTAACGGATATAGATATACGCATAACCCTATGTGACCATTTAGTTATTTTAAAAAAGATTTAATGCGATTGTTTGATTTTAATCGATATAAAAATATAGTATGTTAAGTTAATCAATTAGGATTAATTTCGCTCGAAAGAGGTAATTAGTTAAACTTGAAAAATCGGGTCAATATCGCAAATGAATAATTTGTTAATTGGCTTGTGGATAAATTAATTAGGCGACGGTTACGGGAAACCATGAATTCTAACCACGTTTTCTTCCAAAAATTTTTCAAGTTTTTTATGTTTTCTTAATTTAAAGAGTTGTAGTTTATTATTCCTTGTTTTCTTTGGGTGCAGACTTATGGAGAGGCCATGGGATTGAGGGATATAAAGTAGGCAAAGCTACGGATGCGAGCAGCGGAATTGCTGCCATAGGGTTGAGAATCCCTTGATTGTGTGCTCGACTTTCCTTCCAGTGCTGTAGTTCAATTTTCTAAGTGGACCTCCTATTTGTCCAAGGTAAGCGGGGTGGCACAAAATTGGCCAATTGATTTTTGATGAGATCGGGGTCCAAGATGGACTATGAGTGTGATTCATGCGGGGTCGACGACCTAGATCACTCTATGTTCACTTCCGGATTTTATTTATTTATATTATTCAAAAAAAAAAAAAATGAGATAATGCTCCATTACTATTGCAAAATATTTTATTTGGAGTGGTCTATCATCTGAGAACGTTTACTTAATTAAAAACAATTTTGGCGCATGATTTTACATAAAGTGGAAGATTAATGCTACTTTATCAAAAAGTATGTAAAGATAGAGTGACATAATCAGGGGCAGACGCAGACCTTAAAAATTAGGGGGTACAATCGAACTTGTAAAGAAATTTGGAGAATTTTACAATCGAAAATTTACGTTCAAAAAAATCATACCCCATGTAATTTTATATCCGAAAATTTACATGGGATATGACTTTTCGGATGAAAAATTTCGAAAATTTTTGATGTC